ACTTAAAGTGTGTGGAAAGCAAAGTTACAATGATATAAAATTAGTGTCATTAATTTTTTGTTTGCATGTTCACACTGATGTTAAAAATTACATTTTATGATTTGTGACATTACTTTTTATGTAATGCTAAAACACTGCTGGTCACTTTCAAAAGTTGTAGTGATTCTTTATTTTCCAAGAAAGAATGTGAAACAAATTGGTTATATAATTTTTTTTTTTTAAATATTTTAAAATATAATTTAAATTGATTTTACACACAATATCGTATCGCATATCGCATTTTTTTTTTCATTATCGCACAGTCAACAAATTTTTTTTATTAATCTCTCATTACGATATTATCACCAAATCTTGGATTCATTCTTCAAAGGCCTCACTAAACTGAGCTTATGTATCTCCATTTTTGAGTGAAAAATATTTGGTGATAATATAAATATTAATATAAGATTTCTCTCTAGTAATTTGTGTTTTTTGTTGCGGTTTTCATGATTGTATCCTTAATATTATGAATTAATGAAAAAAGGGTATCTACAAGGTTTATTTTTGTTTCCAAAAAGATAAGAGAAGCAAACAAAAAGACACGTTAGAAAGAAAAAAAAAAACGTCTTGAATTTCTGTAATTTATTAACTTATGGGAACTTACAATGACGGCATGCTAGCGGTCCAAGCGAAGGCGCAAGTTGTGTGATAAATGCTGCATTTAAGGGTTTTCTTTTCAGAAAAGAGAGCCTTCCGTGTGAACGCAAGCCGAAGACGGAACTCCATCCCGGTGTCAAGAGCCTGACTCAACCGGTATAAACCGGTGTTTGTCTTCGCCGTTCAGAGAGGCAGCCATGTGCTTGCTTCTTGCGGTTGATGTGGCGTTCTTCTTCTCTTGTTTATTCGGTTGTTGCCAAACCAGCTTTTGGATGCATTACCGCCTCCACCGATTTGACTGTGAAACTGCAATGCGGAAAGATTTTATTTTTTTTTTTATTCGCGAATATAGTAATATTTCTTTCGTATCCTCTTAAGACCCAGATTTTTTTCTTTTTAGGAAAAATTTTGTATTTTGTCGTGTTATTACATTGTTTAGAGCATTAGAAAAAAAAATTACAATTTTTTATTTTATTTTTTTTTGTTGAAAATGATATTTCATTCACGTTATGCTATGTCCTCGGTAGAGGACACCTGGACTCAATAAAAAATAAAAATAAAAAATAAATTAAAAGACATGAATGAACATGCATAGGCAAATACAATAGATTTTTTTTTTTATCTCTAATAGCGTACATTTTTAGGTTTCAGGATTTTTTTTATACCAAACTTTGTATAAAAATGATTCTCAACTGTTATAATAGAATGATTTGATATATAAAATTTTTATTTATGCAAAATGTGTGTAAAATGGCCATAAACGTGTTTTCCCATTAAACACTATGCATCTATGCACTGTATCTAATTTGCATATTAATCTGTTTTTGGGGCAACATGTAATGAAAAAAGAAGTGTAATAATGGGAGTAATAATTTACAAGATTTTCATAATAATATGTAATATTTCATAGGAATATTGAAATATGTTTTCTTTCCATATTCATTTGTTGTGTCTCCCAAAATTTAGTCCTGGTGTCCTCATATGAGCACATGTATGAAATCAACCTCCTGTTTCATAACAGAAGCTCATATTTTGATTTGAAACCCCATAACATTTCCCTGAGATGTTAATGCATGACAAAAATTAGTCAGATTTAAATGATAAATACAAAATATGATCATGTTTCCGTAAGAGTGTTACATTTGATCATTAAATTAATGTGAGTATTTTACAGTACGTGTACTTACAGTGTATTTTAAGTGTACTTACCTAAGAAAGTACTGGTGATATAAGGTAACTAAATGGGTTTAGGTTCAGGGTTAGTACCTAGTTATTGTAATTACATTAATAAGTACATAGTATGTACATGAGGAACAGGACTGTAAAATAAATGTGCTACCCATAATCCAGTGTGGTGCTTTTTTTGTACTTTTATGCAAATTTAGTGATGACGTTAGTAATTATGTGACTTTATTTAAAATATGCCCTGTTAAAGGCTATACCCTGTTAATTATATTGACCTGTGAATGTGAGTTCTGTAAAGATGAACCTGAAACACTATCCCACTTTTTCTGGAACTGTCATCTTGCGAGTAAATTCTGGAAAACAATTTTCTGTTTTTAACACATTGACAAAGATGTGGATCTTACTTTCACACTCCAAAGAGAAAGGAAAACTTGAAATCGCATCATATGACCCCTTTAAGATCTTGCAACTTCACAGGCCTCGATCCCTCAACACGTGTGTCTGTGATCATGTGATGATCACGTGCGTCGTCCTAATAGCAGCATTACAGTCACATATCATATTTTGAAACCTATATCCTATTGCCCATACCCTACAACTCGTACTGCATACGGCGAAATAAACCAGATTTACTACAGGACTCCGCGAAAATAAATGAGCAGGGCTTCTTTTTTATGAGTTAAGGTTGATGTCACGTGACGGCCGCTGCAGGGGTCACATGACTGATCTGAAACAACAGCAGTAGAAATGTCACTTCTTCATTCCGCATTTGTGTTCATAGTTTAAAACATGTCGACGTTTAAAGCGAATTTGATATTTTCTGTGCTGTTTGTTGTGTTCGGCGCTGCGCTTGGATTCTCTCTTTAATGTCTATAATTTTTATGTGTCATTCGATTTTATGCTGTCTTTATTAAAAAATATTTTGCTACAAAAATGATTTAAGTCATATACAGTAACTATATTGTAACCCTATGTAAATACGGCTACTATAAATTCATAAAAACATATGCAAGAAAATATTAGCATATGGAACAAACATTTCTGATTTGTTTGATACATCCAAGACTGTCACAAGTCAGTTTTTGCCATTTAAAATGTCAACAAAACGTCGTCTATGTTAGTCAGCAAGATAGCTTTACCTCTGTAGGACTCTCTATACTGTCTATAATTCAGATTATGTTATAAAGGTTTGTCTCTTCTCTCTCGTGGTCTCAGGTGTCTGTGGAGCTGAATCCCGGTCTGACTCCTCCATCAGTTCTTCCTCCTGGAGTGGGTCTGGTTCATGTGCGAGGTCTGGGGCTCAATGACACGCTGCACTTCTTGCTGTGTAACGCTGGAGCTCCAGCGCTGCTGGTGGTCCACACGAACAGCACTCAGTCTGCAGTGCAGGTGGACTGGCCTGTGTTTATCAACCGCAGTTCATCCGGCAGCCTGAGGGTGGAGCCGCAGAGCAGCGTGCAGTACAGCAGCGCACTAGTGTTCACCAGGGGTAAAGCAGCGCTGTTTTATCATACTAGATACATTTAGTTCTGCTATAATGCTGCTCTGTGCGGTCGTCACTGGTCTGTTAAAACACACAACATATTAAAGCGTCTTTGGTGTTTCCATGTTTTCTTCAAAACAAAACCGGAAATCGAGGGGTTATGACGTCATTAGCAGGCGACACAATGACACTATAGACACACGCTCCGTGTCACTAGCTATGAGGGGTTATGACGTCATTGGCAGGCGACACAATGACACTATAGACACGCTCCGTGTCACTAGCTAAAATTGCTTATTTCACTGGATTTAAACATTCTTCGAAACATTTGGGATAATGTAAGTACACAAGTCAGCAAAATATATAACACTGTTCTAGTGGTTTTTGGATATTTTAATAAAAAAATCGTACATATTGTGCCTTTAAAGGCGATTTTTTTTCAATATTTAGATTTTTCACCCAGTTCAGTATATTCACATAGCTGTCAAGATTAATGTACAGCGAGTGTTTTATAACGGATGCTCGCCGAAGCAGTGTGTTTTGAAGAAGTTTGTGAGGATCAGGTGTTTATGTACATATGGGCACCAGACGCTCCAAACACAGACACGATCGCTTGTTCTGACATCGAGCCGCCTTCAGATCGCTGAGTTTCCACACATTCAGAATGGTTTCATTTTTCAGGTTTATTTTGGTGTGTTTAGTGATTCTGAATAGATCCGTATAGTAGCTATACGCAGTCCTCTGGCGTCTCTGGCGTTTAAGTCTATCTTGAATTTGTTTAGTTTAAAAATAACTACATGGAATTAAAAGGTTATAACACTAGAATATAATTTTTTTTTATTGACTCGGAGAGGAGGGGGGCCTTGGAGTAAAAAAGGTTGAGAACCACTGCTCTAGGTACTTTTTTAAAATAAGTAATTACTTCGCGACTGCAAAAAGAGTATGTTCTATATAGTATGAATGTAATCTGGACATACTACATTCACCATGTTGTCATTGTCACATGATCTAGCAGCGTGAGTCGTGTTGCGTCACTGCCGATCATAAATCCTCTCCTGTGGCCTCATGGGATAGTAAAGTGTCCATAGTATGCACACTCCTTTATGAGAGTACTGTTAATTCAGACATACTTCTATTGTCACATACTGTTTTTGTGTACTATATAGTAGGGAAGTATGCTATTTCAGATGCACCGACACTCAATATTACATGAATAAATACATAAAAAGTTCGTTGTGATGTCTTAAAATAACTTTTAATAGTAGTAATAATAACAATATTTGTTAAAAATAATAATAAGAATTGTTCATATTAATAATAATTTGTTATACAGTATACTTTTTGTACAAGCATACTAAATTGTTTATTACGAGCCTTATCTCTTCTATTTGATTTATGAATGTGCTGACTTTTAATAACTTGTAGTAATTGTAAATAATAATAGTAACATTTATTATAATTAATAATAATAATATTAATTATTAGTATTATTATTAGTGTTCACAAGTACACTACATTTTTATTAGAAGCCTAATCTATTTTCATTTAATTTATAATTGTGCTGTTTTATAATAACTTGTAGTAATTCTATATAATAATAATGACAACATTTTTAATAATAATTATCATTATTAAAGTTCACAAATACACTAAATTGTTATAATAATAACATGTATTATTAATAATAATAATAATGATGATTATTATTACTTAAGAGCTCACAAGTACACTGTATAGTTTATTTCAAGTCTAATCTTGTTTAATTCATAAATGTGCTGTCTTGTAATAACTTGTAGTAATACAAAATAATAATAATAAAAATAAAATGTATTATTTTCATAATAATAACAACAATAGTAATAGCATGTGTTAATGTTAATAACAATACTTTTAATTATTATTATTAATATAATTAGTTTATTCCAAGCCTTTTCTATTTATGAATGTGCTGTTTTATAATAACTTGTAGAAATTATCATATTTATTATTATTAGTGTACGCACACAAGAACACTGAATAGTTTATTCTTATCTGTTCTTGCCGTTGTGTCTTTGGGGCGCTGATGCCTTTACAGACAGAAAGTAATGAAAGCATGAGCTCTGCTGTGTTTGTTTGTCAGGTGTGGGAGTATGATGATGTCAATAACACCGCAGACCCCCAGCAGACGGCAGAGTCCAGCTTTTACCCTCCATACGAGCTGCAGAACTTCCTCTGGACCCTGAACATCAGTGCTAACCAGTCGGATCTCACAGTAACGCTGTGCGGCGGAGAGAAAACGGAGAGCTTCCTCAACGGCTCCCTCTGTCTGCAGGTCAGCAGAACTACAGGAACTAACGTATAGCACGTTCTGTGTGGACTTACAGTAACTGGTGTGATTTCTCTTCTGTCCTCAGTTCTCAGCGTTTGAGTCGGAGGGTCGTGATAAAGCCTGGCCGAGTCTCCGTCACAACGTTAACTCCTCACAGCTGCACGTGTGGCTGGATGGCGTGACGCCGCGAGGAAACGACTCCAGATTCGCTCTTGAGTTTCAGTCTGTTGGTGAATCCGGGTTTGAGGGACGAGTGGACGTCCACAGCTCTATAGACGATGAGTACACACCCTCCATCTTTAAGGTGAACATCTTACCATACAGCAAACATGGACATTAGGGGTGTAACTAGGGCTGCACGATTAATCGAAGGCGATTGTCATGCGCATTTTGATAGTAATGCCGGTTCTGTAATCAGCAGGAAATAATCATCACGTGCTTTCAGATGGAGCAGCATTTACTACACAGAGCCGTAGTTCACTGACAAGTTACGCAAAAAAATCGCGATTCTGAAATC